TAGTTCAAGTTTTTACATGAAAGAGGTTGTGCGGACTTTGTGCAAATTTCAGTAAATTTTCTTCATGGTGCAAAGAAAAGTCCTTGAAATTTTCAAAGGATTCTACACAAACGTTCTCTTGTAAAAAATGGAATTACCCAGATAAATTTGAGGATAGCTCATGTGGCTTACTCCTTTCTGCTAAACGCAGTCCAAATGACCTTGCATGTTAAATCCATCGGTTCCACTCGTTTTTGAGAGAAAATAAGGCAACGCGTACCGGGCCGATTCTGATCGGAGCCGCGTATACGAGTATTTTCTCAGTGTGATAATTCCACACCGTCTATTGAATAAACCGAAGGTACATTTTTAGTGGGGCACGATTCACTTGCACTCAGATACGGAACCGGGAATCCGTGCACCAACACCATCATGACGGCAGCAAATGTTCTCAAAGTATCTGCTTAAGCTAACAGAGAGCCGCAAGCTGGAGCCGAAGCCATCGGGACGGGGAACGGGGAGAAAAAGGCAGATCGGGTGCGGCGCGGCGCCCGTTCGACTCACAGCTGCTCCGCGTTCTGTCGTTTCGCCGTTATTTGCTGTCGACGAGCGCGAGTCGTGCGGGAACCGATTACACGCGTCACCGAATTCGGGAACCGAAAGTTGCCGAATCACGCCTCCAAGCTTGTGCAATGCAGCAGGCAGAGTAATTGCAAGTGATCTCATTTTTTTACGTGCCTGATTTTCAAAATCGAATTTTAAAAAAATTAATAAAAAAAAATGTTCAACAGCCCGATTTAAGTAATTTGGTGTCAATGGACCACTAGACAAGGTACGAACTTGAGCAATCTGATTCATGTTTCTTGACTAGAATTTCACGTAGAACACGATTCGCACAACGAAAATCACTGAAACCAACTCCTAACGAGGATATCAACGTTTTTATTTCACATTGGTTACGAGGAAGAATTTGAACTGCCCGCTCAGAAGAAACTCAAAGCTCTACGCCAGTCAAATCGCGCCCTACAATAACGGTTTCAGCATGCTTCTCAATCGAGCAATGTTCATTTCCCACCATGTATTGTTCAAACTATTAGCAATTTGCTATAGCTGAGCCAAAGCTTCAAGATTGAGGTTGTCAGATTTTTATATCGCAGAGACTGTCATGATAACGTTTAGCGCGCGATGTGAATCACACAGACCATTGAGTTTTCATGAGCGGAAGGTTTGAATTCACGCATCAGGAATCATAATGTATCTTCGTAAAGAGTTCATTTCGGTAATTTTTATTGTGCGCATCGTGTTCTACGTGAAATTTTGGTTACGAAACATGTATCAGAATGCTGAAATTCGTACCTTGTCTAGTGGTCCATGGACTGGGTTAAGGAGAGAGGAACTAAGCTACATCAGATATTGCCTTTCATGGGGCAATTCAATTTTTAACAAGAAAACGGCTGTGCGGATTTTTGTGCAAATTTTACGAAAGCGAATTCCTTAGAATTTTCAAAGGTCTCTGCACAAACGTTCTTTTGTGAGAAATTGAATTGCTCAGTCAGATTTGGCATTAACTTCTGCTAAACGCGTTCCAATTGGAATCATTAAAGAGTTAATTATAGTCATATTAATCGAAATAGGTCAAATTTTACTCGATCTGATCAACAATACAATAAGAAAAATTATCATATGCTATAGCGGTGAAGTTACGAGGAAATTATGAGGCAAAGAATTAAAAGAAATGATGAAATGTTATATTATTTTCAGCCTCTGCGCATAAAAATTTCCGCCACAAAGCAAGTCCTTGCCCGTCCATACACTTAGGCTGACAATACTCTAATTTTGCAGAAAATGAGTTAGTCTCTCTCCTACAACCATCGCTGAGTCGCCACGAATTCTCTCAATGCTGATCTATTTTAGGATACCACTATTCGAACGTGAAGGAGTGCACTTTGCCTATATCAATCATTGAAGGCGTTTTTGTTGGCGTTCTGTTTTAAACTGTTAATATAAATTAGCAGTCGAGATTCTGAAACATCGCAACCAAGAAACGCCCTTTCTGCACCCAACGGCTCCGGATACATAAATACAGAAAACTCGTTTAATTTGACATTTGAACCACATTTAACAGAAAAGAACCAATCCACATCAGCTATTTCCAAAATTAACCGGCCAATTTAATTTTTGACAAGATGACATTAGTGCGGATTTCTTTAAAAAGTTTTTTTAGTAATTCGCTTCGTACTATGCAGAAAAGTTACTGAAATTTGCACAAAATTCGCACAACTGTTTTCATGTGAAAAATTTTAACTGTCCCATTAAATTAGTTAATAACTGATGTGACTTGGTTCCTTTCTGCTTCACGCAATCTATCTAAAAGGCAAAAAACCATTCTCAAGTTTCAAAACCACCTTTTCCGTATAGGTATTTGAAGTCACGCACAGTGGATCGAGTCAATAGGATAGTTCGGACAAAATTTGGAAACTTTAAAAGCTTAAAATTCCGCTTGTACAGAATTTTGAGGTTCTAAAAGTAGTTCCATTGGTTTTCTAGTGAAATTTTCTTCTAGAAGCACCCCTTAAAATTTAAAATCCGACGCAATAAACATCAAAAGTTGCAGTTTTAGTAAAAAAAATCATGTCCGACCTCTCTGATTGACTCGATCCACTGTGCCACGTGACAACGCAAGCTGCGTGGAGCGTGACAATGACTCGGCGGAGGCTCTTCTTGGAATTCGCATCGGTGGATCGGCGTGAAGCCTGGCATAAAATTTCCAACCTGGTTAGGCAGTTTCCGGCCCGCTGGAGCTTTACGATTCAGCGATAAAAGTTCCTGCGATAACGACGGCGAATCAATCACTGTAAAACAGTAATTCCCTCGGCAATATGAAACTCTGATATTTCAGAGGGCCCGACGGATGACTTTACCGCGATTCCGCTCAAACACAGAACAGAACCGAGATCGATCGCGCGCTCCTCGACCTGATTCATTATGAACTTAACGATATTTTTATTTGTCCCTTGATTTTTATCCGTTGCGAGTGGAAAATTATGTCCGCTTCGAAATCCACTCATATTTTCAGTGGGTATTTGAGTGTAGTGTTATTCGGGTCCAATTTATCCTATATACTCTCATTTTTCTCTAATGAGCTATTTTTTCCACGATTTGTTTTATTCACATACTTCCTATTACCAACGACAATTTTTTTTAAAATTTTTTTCCTCTGACTCTGGATTTTTATTTCTTACTATTCTATGCTGCTGTGCCGAGGCAAAACGTCGTAGGAGCCTTCAGGCGTTGCCCAATTTTCTTTGATAAAATACGAAATTACTAGGAAAGTACGGGATATTTCTCTTCGAATTTTTCGGACAATCTGGTACGCACTTTAATCTAAGATAAAGAAATTATCAAGGGAAAATATCTGTAACTTTTTTCCGAAATGAACATGTACAGCGCTCTTCCTTAATACGGCAGAATGGGAAACACGAGGGACAAAATGTCTCTAAATAATTTTGGCAGCGGCGTTTAAATAATTATTCAGGGTGAGCTGATAATCAACGATTAGAGATACCGATGGTCAAAGTGCGAAACCATGTATATTCATTGTAATACTCCAGAATTTCTGCTACGATTTTAATTATTTTAAGAGGAACAAGCCGAGTGTATAGGTTGAAATGTATACAATGATATTTTTTAACAGAGAGAAATCAGAAAAATCAGGAAAATTTACAAGAAATTACGTTGGCTATTTTTCCAACGGTAAAATAAAAAATGCTAGGAAGTCTGCGACGTGGCAAATGGAGATACATGGTCTTGCACTTTGGCTATCGATATAGCTTTAAAAATCTTATTTGCGTATAAACAATTTTATGAAATATGTCAAGATTTTATTTGCCATGAAATTTAGCCACCCTGGCCTGAAACGACTAGGAATGTTCCATTAAAATAAAATTTGTGAGTGGGCAATTTTCAACGTTGAACTGTGAGTACGTTCTTACGACTTTAATACGATGACGTAAAGGAATTTGCCGCCGCTCAGAGAATCGCGCAACACCGAAGGAGTTCTCGTTTAACACCTCGACGCGTAAAAACAATTTCCATGAGAAGGATCTGTTCCCGCCGCGCTGTGAGAGCGCCTCTTTTGTATTTCGTTTATTTTTTATTTTATTTCGCTCTTTTCCTCCTTTTCGCTGGGCAGGTTTAAGTCCCAGATCCTGGCATGGATGTCGCACCAGCGCACAATGGTCACAAGTCTGTTACCCCGGGCCGTAACTGCAGGAATTTCGATCAATTTTACTTCACAGGTTTAATACTACAAACGTGACACAATTTAAGGACTTTTCAAGGACCATTGCTTGGTTTTTCAAGGGCGTCCAGATGAAAATTCAAAGACTTTCAAGAAATCCAAAAGTCTTTTCGGACATTCTGAGAAGTCTTTTAGGACATTCAAGGCCTCACATTGAAAGAACTTCCTACAATATATCCGATACTATCCTACAATATAATCCCGATCGGGAAAAAATAATTGTTAAAATACGCATTTCAGTTGTTACTAAATATGACTATACTGTTACGTGCTATTAAAGCTTCTTATCAATTCATATTAAACAAGGTATGGGGGACTTCATTCAAAATCCGCGATTTTGAATTTCAACGGATGTGGCGTAAAATACCATCTTGGCTTCTGTTTGGTCGTTTCTTGTGAAACTCGGTCACACTATCGTTGACATGGAAAAGGAACTTCTCGGTAAAAAAATTTCAGGCTTATTCAATATTTGTTTAAAAAGAAATATTTATTTTAACTCGAAATGTCATTCTAGCTCTTCGTAACACCGATTGATGAAAAACACTCATCACTTTGCATTCAACGTATGCAGCGATAGGAGCACAAGTTAACACATTAAGATTTTTCTCTACGCAAGTCGAAGTCGCACCAGTATAAAACGCCTTCAAATGCGGTTGATACTGTGCAACACACCAAAGTTAAAATAGTTGTATCCTTAGGTTTGAACCTAACTCGAGTAATTATCACGCTACCTAATAAAGCATGCCAACCTTGTTAACTGCTGTTTTTCATGTTACCTCGTATAATTTGTGCCCATTATTGCCCTTGACAAAAATTTAAGCCTCATCTTTTATTTAATAAGAAAAAATTAGCATTAATGTGGGCAACGAAAGAGGCGCACCCAGATGAAAACCTGTTCGTGAAACTTTTAGAGTTTATAAGCGCGCCTGTCATGTACTGAGAAGATATTTTTTTTGCAGGAAACTTTAATTTTCAATCAAAATTTCAAAATGTAAAAATCAAAGATGGCGGATGTGGCCCGATATGCTATCTCAGTTGCAGTCCCACCGATGTTTGTGAAAATCAGAAACGGTGGGTATTTTTTGTCGAGAAACACGAATTTTCAGTCAAATTTTCAAAATTATAACTCCAAGACGGCGGACGTGGCCTAAAAGGCCATTTTGGCTATTTTAAAAGTATCTCCTCTAGCAATCAAGATATATGTTTATTTCCTGTTCATTTTCAAAATCAATTTACCCTCAGCTAATATATATTTTGATACGTGCGCGCTCCTCAACACTGGTGTGTTGAAACTGCTCCTTACTTATTCCCAGAAAATTCCTGGTTTTTGTTAATTTTACTCAAAATTCAACCTAAAGTTTACCAAATTCTTTCACTGAATACATAGGCTCTTTTTGAGAAGACTCATGATAGGTGTATGCGATTTTTCTGACGCAATTCATGAATACTGATACCGTGAAGGATTTACCTTCTCTTACTACTGTGCGGAGTACTCAAGGAGACATTGACGTTAGAATTTGACTAGAGCAGGGAAGAGCCCACGAGTGGTTTCCGGACCGGCGCTGCACGGCTTACGACTCGCTTAACAACGTCTCATGATGAATGAACCCTACAAAGTACAAACTATTGCCGATGCTTCCGGGGGCGTGTTAGTACATTTTTCCTCTCGGCAGCCCGTCACGACAACGCAGAACCGCGCAACTGCAACGCAACTCCTGTCATATTCCGTCGTTTACACTTAACGGGGTTAGAATGCACTTACGAGTCTGCAACCCGCAGTCCTCGCCTTAGGAATAATGGGACTCACGATGAGAAATCTCTCGGAAAAAGGGGAGACATCTGCATACGTCACACAGATTTACGCAATGGGGATTTTACTCTCTTCGTGTGGGCTTTCGGCCCCGGGTCTTACGTGGTTGCTGCGGCTCGTGTGGAAATGTGTTGCGTTCCATTCAACCACAATTGGATGGAATCCTGCATTAAAGTTCCACCCAAGTTGTGGCTGAGCCCTCAATTACATGAGCGCACGCGGCTTATGGCGGAATTTAAGTGGATCTCTCTCGCATTATTTCATCCAATTTCGGCAGGAATTCCGGCCTCCAAGGAGCCGGATTCTGCATTTAATTTCATAACGGTGGATGTTCTTTCGTTCAGCTAGAGTAGAGAGGACTGGCGGATCCCTGTCACCATATACACGGTTAAAAATGTCCGTTTTTAGAGTTACTCTGTGTTACTTTTTTGTTTCAGATGATCCAGAAGGACTTGGTTGCTCAACACAATTTTGTGTTGAGTCGACCTAAAAGTTAGGTTACTCTGAGACATCGGAGCATGAGGAAAGTGTTCTACCGAAGTTATGTACTCTTGTGTTTCTCCTAACCTCTAACTTGCGAGCGGGTAGCAAATTGGACTACCACTGATGTGATCCAGATTGATTCTGACGGCTGGCGACTGATTTTTAACGAAGTCGCAGATTTTCGGCACAAAGATTTGGTCACCTCAACCCAAAGATTTCGTCGATTTGACACAATGAAAACTAAAATACAAAAAAAAAACCAACCAATGGCTTACGTTACTTCGTGTTAAATTTCCCACATTAACACAAGATTTGTACTACTTTTTGTTCACGTGTAATTCTGGTTGAGTCAACAATGACCATTCTCGTGGAGTCAACTGAATAGTCATGGTTAACATAACCATGCTCTGATCGAGTCAATATTAACACCAAATATGTGGTATTCCAAACTGCAGATTCAGCCGACTGAGGAGATGTTTGAACGGAAAAATCACACAAAAAAATCGTTGAGTACATCAGCCGGATGATTTTTGAATATTATAGACGCAGCGATAGGAAAAGCAGTCATAGAGAAAATTATAAGCGATTTTATTCGTGGAAGCGTATGGTTGCAACGGACAGGGGAGGTAAAAAACAGAATAACTAACGGCAACCCACGCACGAGAGACCCTATAATTGGACGTATCTCTGTCAAACGGAACTAAGCGCCAATTTGAGTGCCTTTTGAGGAATTTAGAATCCCGGCTAGCGCGTTCTGTCAAACGGAACTAAGCGCCATGGAAAAGCATTACGAGTATAGGACGGAACGAGCAGGACGCCTGTTTCCGCCGCCAATCCAAGCCTCCCTCTACCTTCCTCCCCCTATGGCGCTTAGTTTCGTTTGATAGAAACATGTCCAATTGGTCCATAATTTTTCCCCACGGTATATAAGAACCACCCGTTTTAAACGAATAGGATCGCTCCATTTTCATGATTGTTTCACTAACGGTATGAAACAAATATTAATCGGTGCGAACTGGATCTCGAAGCGGCAACCCTTGTTCACGAACAGTGTGCGGATGGGGGTGGGGTGAGAGTTGTGCAGGGGCGGGAGGGAGGTGGGCGAGTTGGATCGGTCTTAAAAATCGGGAACGCCGGGCGGATTGAGAGGGGGCGGATTTTATCTGGCTTAATTGCCGGGCTTGTTAAAGAAGTTATTAGTCCGAGTCGCGCTCCTTGGAGCCGCGGCCCGGGGCGCTGGCCCGCTCGAACGGGGCGGGCGCTAAATACAAATGAAGCGGGTTCGCCTTCCCCGCGGGGGGCGCGAGGGGGTTTCAGGGGGGCGCAGAGGGCGCCCGGCTTAAGCACCGCTGCAACCCTGATGAATAGACGCCGCCGAGGTAATTAGGTCCTCGCCGGTGTTCCCGCCTTGTCTTCGTTACCGCGACACACCACCTTTCCTGGTATAGACGCCCTCGAAATTTCATGATAAGCTCCTCGGAAAATGGTAGCCTTCGTGGATATTGCGATAGGTGAGTTCCGAGAACGCGTAAAATAATCACAGCGTTTTGAAACATTCGTATCAGTGTTCGAAACTCACAGGCGCCAACGCGCCAAATGCGCCTAAAAAGTCGGCCATGGCGCCTAAAAAATGAAGTCTCTGCGCCAACGTGGCCCCTAAAAATCTGAATTTTCATATCAGGTGATTATTCGAAATTTGGAGCACTACAAGTTAAAGCTTTTTCTGTTCTTCACGATTTCATCCTTTGTACTTTTGTCTTCCCCAAGTTACAGCTACTTACTAGTTCTGTTACGAAAACATCTTGCGTCTAACTTTTCACTTAATGCGCCGTAATATACAGGCAAAAAGTCAATTTGGCCCCTAAAAAATCCTCAGTGGCGCTTAAAAATCGGGCTTGATGCGCCACTTGGCTCCTAAAACTCAAAGGTGAGTTTCGAACACTGATTCGTATGTACTTTATTTTTTCGATATAAACAAACGAATATAAAAACTAAACAAAACACAAGAAAATGCTACAACCAAACAAACAAAATGTCCGAGAATTTTAGGAGTGGTTTCAACCCCTCTCCTGAACCAGCGAACAAATAATATAAAATTATAAAAATCAAGAAACCTCTTAGACCCCCATCCGTAATAAAAAAAGAGAGAGGTTATCATGGAGGCATTGAATAAATTTTACATTACGCTGATGAAATGTCCCATGCAGGAATTCTGTTAGTTTGTTTTTAGCCTCGGTTGCCTATTTTCTTGTGTTTTGTTTAGTTGAATTATTCGGGCTACTTTTGTGTATTATTCATACCTAACGAATATCGTGGCGTGAAAATTTTACGGAATAATCGTGTCAGGATAAAGAATATAAGGGGGAAAACTGAAAAGATAATGCGTTATTATCGTCTTAAGAAATATATCACGTACAGTGGCAATTTTGCAAGTTGGTAACACTGTTGTTCCTCCATTTAAATCCATTAAAATGATCAATATAAGGTGAGGCAAGCAGCCTTACCGAGAATCGATATTTTGCTCATAATTAAGTATTGGAAAAACAGTGTTACCAACTTTCAAAAATCGCCAGTGATAAGACAGTAAAGAGAGTAGTCGATTTTCCCGGCGGATTTGAAGACCCATCAGTTAAACGAAGAAGCACTCACGAAATCATGCGCCGAGCGATGCGATAGACGGCGAGGAAATCCGCAGCTTACCTGAAACATAAAAAAAAAATGGAATTATGAAAGGAGGTGGGAAAAAATCAACAGTGCGGCGAAGGGCGGGGGAAAATTGTGTCACGCAATTACTGGAACCACAAAAGGTTCGCGGGGAGGGACTCTAGAGGCCGTGGTGGGGGGTGTTGATTCTTAAGGCGCGGCGGCGTTTAAGCCTCGCTCGAAGATGATTTAACTTCTCCTCTCCCCCCCCCTCCTCCGCGCTCACCACCGGAAACAGTAAATTATTTCACCGAGAGCGCCCTACGCCGGGACGGATTAGAATAAAGAGGACGACGGGAATGACTGAATCGCTGATCAGGTGTCACCGAAGAGAATCTTCGCCAAGTTGCCGCAGATGCCTTGCTCGGGGGATTGTTGTAACGGGTCAGTTGCGCTAGTTACAGAATCTCGTCGAGATGGTCTAAGCTTGCGATTAGCAAATAAATGATACGATCTGTTTGTGGGCCTAGTTTCTGCTAGAGTGACTGCATGGATAGAGTGCGAACGTGTCGGTAATTTTGAGGTTAGGTCATGGAGATTTTAGGGCACGAAATGGTAGCCAATCTGTGCAATCAAATTAGTCAGAATTATTTATTCATTACGAACCGACGTTTGTAGGGCATATACTTGACCTAGTTTCTACAGAAATTTACTCATTTTTGCGTAAGGGCGCTCAGTATATAATCATTATTGGCCATCATGGTTTGATATTGGAATCTGGTTATTGGCAGCGGCATTTCTTTAGTGTTTTTTAGGTTTAAGGTTTGGCTGCCCTTTTGGGTCCCTAAGAGCTCCATATTTTGGCTTGTCCATATGCCCGCACTCTCCCTATAAAGGTGCGGGGAAAATGTTTATTACGATCGGTTTTCCGCTCTGATTAGGGTGAAGTTTAAACAGGGTTCACTGCACTCTAGTTTGTGCGTCCCATTCGCATGATACCGTCCAGAATTAAAGTAGGCATCACTCATTCAGAAACACAGCATATTTGTATGACCGCATCCCCCACGGTATAGTGGATACCATGGTTTCTTTCACCTTGAATTTATGAATCAAGGATACGCACATTTGCACTGTTTGTTCGTTGAAAAAAGGATAAAACTAAATTGGCAGAGACCACGGTACGCATCACTACTGAGGCTGTTGCCATACATCGTGTTCTTCGATGGGTGGCACCTCCGATGATACAGTGCGTAGAAAACTTTCCCAGTGCCTCTGCAACGAGTGAATAATTAGCGTATGTAAGTGCATGTTCCTCCCTCAAACTTTCCCAGAAAATGTCCGAGAAGGATGAAGAAGAAAGAAGAGAACTCCCAGAAGGGTACGTTCTTGGAGGGTCTTCTAATTATGAAAAGTTACCGTGCATGTATATTTGCATGTGCGTGCATATCTTTCTATCCCCATGGTAATTTGGATTTCAATCGGTATTTTCCGGTGAAGTCCCGGTTCCCTCAGGGTGAATATCCTGCTTAGATTCCTATATCCACCGTGTTTCACAAGAAATACCAAGGAGCCGTGCGTTGTGGTGCAGAATTCCCTGTACCTTGTCCAGTGGTCCATTGATGTAGATCCAGCCGTGAAAATCCCGTTTCAAGGCGAACAAATCGACAACGGAGCGCAGCTTGTGACAGAATAACGGAACGCAGTGAAATTCAATTTACCGTACCTTATTCTTCCTATTGTTGGGGGTGGTCCCTTGTCGAGGGAGCTAGACGCGGGGAGGACGGCCGCGGGATTCCGTCGTGGCGGGGGCGGGCAAGACGGACGGAAAAAAGGGAAGAAATTAAATGAAGAGGGCTTTGCATTTTCGAATCAATGCGAAGGTGCGCCACTGCCGCTCAACGCCGACGGGTCCCCTCGAGACGAGATTTGTGTCTTCGCAGCCAGCCAGCGCTTGACAGGAAAAACCTCGCAACGATTCGCCCTCGGATCCGATGGATCTCGCCGGGTGAATCCGGGCGTTTTCGCGCTAAATATCCCGGAATCCTCCGTGCGTAATGTATTTGTGACGTGATGGTTCTGTTGCATAAGTTGCAACCAGTCAACACTCGCCAAAAATGGGTTTTGTGCACGCAAGTGATGCAAACAGTTTGAATAAACTGTTTCAAGGTAAAATGACAAGGAAATCTCGATGGTAACATTAGAAAGGTCTGAGAGCCACTCTATTTGTGCGTAGTTCTGAACACGCCTTTTAAAATTTTACGCGTCTAGGGGCAGATTTCTACGGAGCAAACGGTAAATTCAATTTGATAAAAAAACATATCATTTAAAACGGTTGTACATTTCCAAACGAGATAAATGAAGATGTCATCCCGCGGTTGGATTTTTTGAAAATGTATGTCTCGTGATGGGCTGCTGGATTTCAACCTATGTCTCTCAGATGTATCGCACTTTTTTCTTGCAAGCAATACAGGTTTCCAAGAGCGAGAGATAACGACGATGTAACCTCTTCCCATGCTAACAATGAGAATTAGGGCCGATTGTAAGACCTCTGATCAGGTGCTTGTCAAACTAAT